GGTTAACATCGTTAAAAGATGTACAGAAAAAGACAATTTAAGACCATAAAGATTAAATGTAATATTTTACGAATTGATCTGATAGTTTGTTCTGCACATTATGTAAATTGTTTGGAGCATACTACTTGAGCTTCCATATTAAATAGCAAAAATACGTAAGTATATAGGTTATAGGTATAGGATGTACAGAAAAAGACAATATAAGACCATAAAGATTAAATGTAATATTTTACGAATTGATCTGATAGTTTGTTCTGCACATTATGTAAATTGTTTGGAGCATACTACTTGAGCCTCCGTATAAAATAGCAAAAATACGTAAGTATATAGGTAAACCTAAAATAAGTGCCCTATTTCACCACAGCCATTTGACAGCCATTTCTTAATACTGGTACCCGGCAGTTTCTACGTGGTTTCCATAGAGAGAGCAGATTCCCGTGATTCAAATGAATTCAAAATCCGTGTGCTTCTTTTCAAAGAGCTAGAAATGAGCCACATGAATGCAAATACTATGTGCTTCTCTTCAAAGAGCTAGAAATGAGCTACATGATATTCAAAATCTGTGAGCTTCTTTTCAAAGAGCTAGAAATGAGCTACATGAATTCAAACACTGTGTGCTTCTTTATAAAGAGCTAGAAATGAGCCACATGAATTCAAAAACGTTTTTTTCAAAATCATTTTGAATGATATTCAAAATATGTGTGCTGTTTTCAAAGAGCTAGAAATGAGCTACATTAACTCAAAATCTGTGTGCTTCTTTTCAAACAGCTAGAAATGAGCTGCATAAATTCAAAATCTGTGTGCTTTTTTTCAAAGACTAGAATTCGAAATAAGCTGACGCTGAGTATGTAGTGTATTTGAAGGATCTATCTTATAAATTATACAGTCACTCTAATTGCCGATTGTGTAAACTTATAAACAGTAACACCAACAACAGTTGTTACATGCACCGAATGCCATCCTAGCCGATCAAAAAACAAAGGTTGTCCCGGTGCATTTGTGGAATAATCAATATATTTTGCGTGTTACTTTTAATTGTTGATCTTGATGACGTTGCTTGTTTATGGATATTTCTAATCTCGGATTGTTCTTTGAACAGGATTTAGCGAGAGCGAGACTTCAATACTCTTTCGAAAGCTGAAATGGTCGTGGACGGCGTTGAAGATGTAGTAGGGCTCGGGGGATTGTTTCTAATTGCATTTTCAGTGAGGACTATACAGAGAAAACTAATGTTTAGCTGCGCTTGACAACAATATAATTGTTTAGTGGATGAATATTAATTGTGGTAAAAGGAAGTGCTTACCATTATCACATAACTTAATAATTCGATTTTGTCTTTCCCTTTTTCCACATATCTCACAATTTATGCCTAACAACTTGGATTGTTTTGACAGAAAGGCTAGAGTCACGTCTCTTACTGTTTATATTCAAAATCTTAACAAATAATTTGCAACACTGGGGGAATGAGGTAAAACAGCTCATCAACACAAATCTGCTCAAAAGAAATCATAATGTTCGAGTAACATACCAACATTTTTGAGTCCCAATATGCCTCACAGCTACTCAACGATTTTAAAAGCGTGTGTGTATGTATAGTGCTGTAAAAAAGTTAAGTCTAGTACAGAAGCTTGGTCAAAAGTAATATTGTGTAATTACAAAATAATTAGTCTAAAATATCACCGTTTTATGCTAAACTATCGGTTTAATTAGGAAGTGCAAGTATACGCATTTGTAATTAGTGGCGTTATAGCCCGATAGGAAATAAAATGATGCATAACATCAAAGACTCGATCACAGTAGCATTCCATAAAAGAAAAAAACATTTCTAGGTGAGGCTTTGTTTCTCGGTGTGTCCTGCTAGGCCATCTGAGAATGCTCGTGCGCACTGTCAAAGACTTCTTCCTCTCTGCTCATTATGATGTATGATTAAAGAGATCGGACGGCACAGAAATATTTCACCCCGATTCTCACTTACGCAGTTGATCACGTAGATGCTTTGACATTTCTTTGAGCAAATTTCAGCATTAAAGAACGAGTTGATTGAAATTGCATCTCTATCGAGACTCATAAAACAAAAATTGCAATAGGAGATAACCATAGAGTTTTTTGATCGATTCACTTGATATTTTATTAGTTTTTAGGTATGTTATAAAACTGATATATTAAAGAGCGTGTCATTTGTTTTTGACGAATGGATATTTTGATGTCTGTTTAAATTGATTTAATTCATGTATATTATTTTATTCATATTAATGTGATTCGATAATTGGATTGATGGCAGGTTTATTTTTTTGAATAAAACCATTTTATTTTCACGACACTTAGTGATGTTCTTTTAAGCTTATCATCTGAAGAGTGCTTAGACATAGCTAAACCATGTAAATGTTTGCCCATTGTCGCCTTTCAAATGTCAAACTTATGTCAGAAAAGAGCACAAGAGAGGGGATATACTCAGTATGAAAGCAATTCAATCTTTTTAATGATTACTAAATTTTATTTTTCATACATGTCAACTGCGTGTAACCACTTGGTGTCGTGTTGTTCGCATGCTGCTGGGTAAGTTCCCCGTATCGCAACTGATTTATTTCTTTATATACACAACATAGATTCACACCGATAATGGGTAAATTCGCACCACCAACTAGGCCCTGACAAGATCAGTGCGCGCCACCAACGGTGTCTCTCTTAAACTTTTGCTGATTACGATGATGCTATATAGGGGCATATTATGGGAATATTATCAATATTTAACTTTAGTTCAATTATGATACATCATACCTTTTCCATTTAGAAGTATGCATAAACGTTGTGAACATAAAATGTGTTTTCCATATTTTTCCAAGTCCCTAGTCTATTTCTAATTGATTTTCTTGATATTTGGCGAGCGTTTGATGACCAAACCCTCGGGATACTAATATAACGCGCTCGAGCAGACAAGGTGATGAAGGTTTCTGGCAGTTTGAACTAACTAGCTCAGTAAGATACTGATGTTTCTATCCCCTTTGCCCGTGGGTGGTTTGTGCACTGACGTGTTCTCACCACCCCATCTCTCTTACACGAAGGAACTTTGACACAGTATATACATCTTTAAGTGTTAAGTATAAAACGCCGTTCGCTTTTATTTACAGTCCTTCGTGATTTACGTTATAAACATGTATATAGAATTATGTTTAATTTACTTTTCCTTTCTGCTTGTTTTGTAAATCAGTGAGAATGTTCTGTAAGTGCAACGAACCTCTATCCACACCTGTACGGAGTCCCACACCTTCCCAGCACGTCGCAACGTGGACCCAAAAAGCGCCTTTCGGCTGGAAATATTTAATAAGGCACCAAACTGAGCAAAAACGGTGGTGTAAGGCGGATGGACAAATATTTAGAATGAAAAAGAACATCTATGATTTGTGTTTAACATTTATGAATGAAACTTGAATTGAAATAGACCATGTTTGTGGTTGTGTTAAGCAGGAATTATTCTAAAGGGCACAGAATGGGTGGTTCGTCTCGAATTGTAACAATTTTTTAGGTATTCGGGGTAGACCGCACCATTTCTGTGTTTGAGGAAATAAATAATATTACTCTTTACGACGTTAGCTTTTTTACAGCTATTAATACTAATACTAGGCTAAGTACAATTGGTGTTGTTTGAATTTATCCAGTCCAAATCAATAAAAGTTCTGACACCTATACCGAATTTGGGATGAATTTCAAAAATATGCAATCCCTGCCAATGTCTATTCATCATATGTGTTTATAATATCACAACTCTTCTCCATGAGGATGTCCAACATGGACTCATGTGATTTGTTCATAACCATTGAATTCACTAAATACTCAGTTCGACAAAATAATATTTTATTAGTAAAAGCATCATAAAGAAAGATACCTTATTCAATTAAATGTGTTAAGAAAAAATAAAAATGTTTATAAAAATATGAACAGTCCCAATACCCCACCTGATATAATAAAAAAAAGTTTGTTTATGATTTATTATCATGATTGACACCTAGGGAACTTTCTTTTTCAATTAATATTGCATGTTAGATGTTTGATGACGAGGTATCGTGTAAGACCACCAGGGGTGTTCTCAGAGTAGTTACAGGTTTGAAACCATCTCTCTCACAGCATGAATTACATGAAACCTAGAAAAGACGGAAACATTACACATTCGGTTGAGGAAATTATCTCACTTAAGGTGCTAAAGGAACTGTGGGGCGTTTCTGAAGTGCGTTAAAATTAGTGTTATTTTCTACGACACCTTCCTTATTGGGCCATTGTCTTGTCATTGGATTTCGGTCGAAGCACTTGAACCCACGCAGGGCACCAATATGAGGGCACATTTATGATGGATTCATCTGCTCTTTTAACGCAATCATATAATACACTCTCATATATCTATCAATGTGACAAGAAACAGCCGCCATTTGTTTATATGTAACACGCAATTATATTTACATTATTTTCATTTTCACGGTTAAATCTGAAACTTCGTGTTTTGTCTTCTGTTTCTAAGCGGTTGAGACAATATCGTTAACAATGATGAAACTTAGTGCGTAGTGCGTTAAAACATTTTCGGGTTTTGTAATGTTTTAATTTTAAATATGACTCACGCAAAAATTAACTAAAGTTACATATTGATTAATAAGGTTGACAATTCTCATGATCTTAGGGGCCGGGGTTATACTGTTTTTAAAAGATTTTTATTAATATTTTCCTTGTACACAATTTATTAAAAAATCTCCGTAAAAAAGATTTTTCAAGGACATAAAGTAATTAATAATATTTGTGCTTTTGTTGTCCCTTTACTTTTCAATAAACAAGGTTACGAAGTTACAAAATGTCAACACACCTGGCTGCTCATAATATTTTAGGTAGTAAGGAGTGCAAAGTAATTTCATGATGATTCATTGTATTCACTATATAGTATTACAAAAAATGTAACGAGTCTTTAACTCGATAATTCACTGCTAAAAAATAACATGCATTTATGTGTAATTGCATGAGTTCCGATCAAGCCTGATCAATATACTCCTTTTTAGTTGTTTTTACTAAAAAAGGTACATTATCTTTAACGCCCTTTCAAACCTGACCCTTATTTAAGTAGGATGCACTATATTAAAATAAAATGTTACGGGTAACAAAATGTTTTTAAATACCATTATTCGTGAACGGAAGCATTTCATTGTGCCGAAATTCCGAAGAAACATCTACAGGTAGGCACAAAATACAACCACTGATTTAGAAATAACTTGCTGAAAATATGCTGAAAGGATGATATCGATATGGCGAACTGAGTTGAACACATGTTTCTATTAAACCAGTCATCAATAAATTCTGAGAATTTTACACATCGTCAATTTAATGATCATCTTTTGAATGGTAAAAATTTAATTTGATAAAAATATAAATACTTTTCTCTATATTATTTTAGAAAACAAATCAGACACTTCTTTTGTTCTTGGTATCATATGATCGGAATGAAATTAAACATCTAGCTCAACCTCATTGGAACAAATGACATATACACAACGTTTAGGTCTCTCAATGGTTCATTGAAAAAGTACATGTATCTTGTTAATGAAATAAACGGTCAACTTTAATTTAATTCATTTTTGAGGCTTTTGATTTATAATTTTTTGAATACTTTTTGTTAAATAAACCAAATTTTCCTGTGTTACAACATTTTGTCCCAAAGATGTTTCATTTCATTCTCAAGAATTGGTAGAAAGGAACAAAAACAATTGCACTAAAACACAAAAAATGTTAACAATTACAGTTATAGAAATTATACCATATATATGAATAATTTTCAATAATTGGTTTAAAATAAAAAAAATGTTGAATTCAGTTCACCATATCGATACCAATCCTTTCCTGGATTTTCTTGAGTATGTCACGGTGTTACACTGTACCTTACGTTTCTTATATCTACGTATGTTTTTAAGCAAAATCACTCAAAATCAGAAAGTCAAAATTTGCATCGAATATTATGTACACTTGACTATGCAATCAAGAAGATTCTCATTAACATCGAGAATGACATCAAAAAAATAGAGGGTCGTTGCTTGTCATATTTCACAAAAGTACATACAAATGTTAGATACGCTGTTGTCAACGTCACTTAACACGCCAAACGTCTGGAAGCCAACAAAAAAGCAAAGGCCATAAAACTATGATTAGTGACAAAAACACAGAAATATAATACCATTATTATATGTCGGTGCATAAAATCCGTTACACAGTTTACTTTAACAGGGCGACATCTTTAAATGTAAAATAAAAATGATTTTACCATTGATAAAAAATATTCAATAGTCAATACAAACAGAAATGTCAACAGCATGTAATTTAAAATATTGCTAAATGTGAGATGACGCAATTACTCTTTATCTACGATGATTATTGCACACGTCAGAGGTGTGTACACTTCACAATCAGGTTCAAAACGTATCAGGGGCAGTTATATTCGAAATAATGGATAACATTTTAGATGTACTAGTATATTCTGAATAAAGTAAACTTTACCTAATGATCAATTTTATAAAGATGTAAAACGCTACAGTATTTTTAATTTTGGAGTTCAATGCATTTTCAGATCGACCTTTTTGTTTCTTCCTTTAAGTCAGGCAAGATAATTTAAACCAGCCAGTTGTGTCATTGTTTAAAATAGATCATAATTTATATGCTTTCCATAAAGAAATAAAGAAGTAGCAATGACATTTGCAATTGTGGAAATGAGATATTGTCCATTTCTCTAAACATCTGGTAGTATAGGCTAGACCAGATGGATTGATATATCAAAAAAAATAGAAATGGAAGTGGCATATCACATAGAAATGGAAGTGGTATATCACATAGAAATGGGATTGGTATATCACATAGAAATGGAAGTGGTATATCATATAGAAATGGGATTGGTGTATCACATATAAATGGAAGTGGTATATCACATTGAAATGGAAGTGGTATATCACATAGAAATGGGATTGGTATGTCACATAAAAATGGAAGTGGTATGTCACATAGAAATTGGATTGGTACATCACATAGAAATGGAAGTGGTATATCACATACAAATGGGATTGGTATATCACATAGAAATGGAAGTGGTATATCACATAGAAATGGGATTGGTGTATCACATATAAATAGAAGTGGTATATCACATAGAAATGGGATTGGTATATCACATAGAAATGGAAGTGGTATATCACATAGAAATGGGATTGGTATATCACATAGAAATGGAAGTGGTATATCACATAGAAATGGGAATGGTATATCACATATAAATGGAAGTGGTATATCACATTGAAATGGAAGTGGTATATCACATAGAAATGGGATTGGTATATCACATAGAAAAGGAAGTGGTATTTCACATAGAAATGGTATTGGTATATCACATAGAAATGGAGTTGGTATATCACATAGAAATGGAAGTGGTATATCACATTGAAATGGAAGTGGTATATCACATAGAAATGGGATTGGTATATCACATAGAAAAGGAAGTGGTATTTCACATAGAAATGGTACTGGTATATCACATAGAAATGGGGTTGGTATATCACATAGAAATGGAAGTGGTATATCACATTGAAATGGAATTGGTATATCACATAGAAATGGAAGTGGTATATCACATTGAAATGAGATTGGTATATCACATAGAAATGGAAGTGGTATTTCACATAGAAATGGGGTTGATGTATCACATAGAAATGGGATTGGTATATCACATAGAAATGGAAGTGGTATATCACATAGAAATGGGGTTGATATACCACATACCTGGTAGAAATGGGATTGGTATATCACATTAAAATGGAATTGGTATATCATGCTTTTGAAACAGCAATATCAAAAAGCTTTTTACAAATGTATCAGTTAAAAACATTGATTTCACTGTTAGTATCATGCTTATAGAATTAGAAAGAACAAGATATTTAAAATATTTTGGTATAACATTTATATTCATGTATACTGTTGGTGTTAAAGATGGCATCCAAGCTGAGGTTTATACAACAGAATCAAGTTGCTAAAATGATGTTTTCTACATTAAATTGAAAATATTCATTATTGTTCCAAAGATGAATGACAGTTTATGTAATCCATATGTAAGTCAGAATCCCTGTTGCAAAGTCATGCATCTATTTCAATGTCCTATTATTCTTGTATATGAAATAAAATTGTAGTGCACGCACTCCCAAATAAAACACTTTATCTAACATCACCACAAACAGTCTCTGTATAAAATTCCAATAATTTACACTGAAAATTTCCTAAGTTGTTTTCATGTTATTTTTTGGCTGCAGCGGCTTCTGCTGCCTTTGCCTTGCTGCGTCCACGTGCCTTCATAATGAATGTGATAGCAGCAATTCCACCTAGGGTAGCCAGCACACACTGCAAATAAAAGGAATGCAATGATAGAAGACAGGGCAATATTTGCTAAATGCTTCATGTTGATGATTAAAGGCAGAATCAGATCTATAGGGGGTGTATGCAAGCAACATGTGCAATTATCTACCAATATATTCCTTACAAACTCAATACAATATATCTCAAAAGATCCTTGATATCTTATAAAGGATTCAAAGTGTAAAAATGGGGGTAAAATGTTTTAAATTCTCCAAAACAATAAAAATGGTAAAGCAAAATTATAGAAAAATAGTACATTATTGTAAATATCTTCAGTTTTCCTGAAATAAAGTTTGCACTTTAGAAAATAGACACAACAAGGAATAATATGAAGCAAAAAGATTCTGAAATTGTAACAATCGTAAAAAAGACTTGACAAGGAATGATATAAGACAAAAACATTATGAAATCAAAACAATTTTTTTGTTGATCAGCTCGCTAGACCCGATTCTTTCTTTAGGTAAACGAAAGATAAAATTCATACAATTTTCATGGCTGTTTCACGAGACTGAAGGTATCAGAATAAGAGAATCATTGTAATGTCTCTCTCCTGACAGAGCCCTGCCATGTACTATGTCACACAAACTTCATGAAACACTATTTTAATACATATGCATACTTTTTGAAAAATGAATGCAAATTGTTATTTGAAATTTTGTCAACAGTTGAAGCTAAAGGGGCTCAGATAAGGTCCAAGGTACAGTGGTATGAACAAGGAGAAAAAAGTACCAAATACTTTTTGCAATTAGAGAAAGCTAGGGGAAATAAAAAGAACATAAATTCATTGAAAATTAATGGTCAAAATGTAAGTAACCAGAACCAGATTGTAGAAGAAATAAACAGGTTTTATAATGCATTATATGAAAAGAAAATTGTATTTAGGAAAGCAAATCTTGATGATTTTTTACATGATGTAAATATTCCGAAACTTAATGATGAAAATAGATTAATTTGTGAAGGTCTTGTAACACACCAGGAATGTAAAGCAGCATTAAAAAATATGAAAAATGAAGCCAGCCCTGGACTGGATGGTATTACAGCTGCTTTCTATAAAGTATTTTTTAATAAGATTGGCAATTTAGTTGTAGATTCACTGAATGAGGGGTTTTTAAAAGGTGAATTATCATGTTCTCAAAAAACTGGATTGATGGTTTTAATTCCAAAAAAAGATTTACCTAGGGATGACCTTAAAAACTGGCGCCCTTTAACATTAACAAATGTAGACTACAAAATACTGGCCAAAGTGTTAGCTAACAGATTGAGATTGGTTATATCTGAAATAGTACATGAAGACCAGTCAGGATTTATAAAGAAACGTAGTGCAGCTACTATTTTAAGAGGTATTGATGACTTAATGGTATATATAGATTCAAATAACTTACAGGGCATTATGCTTGCAATTGATTACGAAAAATGTTTTGATTCAATCTCAAAGGAGTTCATGTTATACTCTTTAGAATATTTTGGATTTGGTCCCCAATTTATGAAATGGATTGAGGTCATTAATACAAATGGACATAATCATATTTTTAACAATGGCTGGCTTATAGGTGACATCAAATTAGGGCGTGGCATTCGGCAGGGCTGCCCCTTATCTCCGATGATTTACCTAATAGCATGTGAGCTTTTATCTTGTAAAATAAGACAATCCAGTGAGGTTAAAGGTATCAAAGCCCCTGGAAATCATGATGAAACCAAAGTTTTACAATATGCAGATGACACAACTGTTTTTGTGCATGACATTAAGTCTTTTAATAATGTACTTGAAATTTTTAACACATTTTATGGTTTATCAAGCCTTAAAATCAACACAAAGAAAACAGAGGCAATGTGGTTAGGAAAATGGAAAAATAGGAGAGAAAAACATGGAGATGTGCAATGGAAAATAATGCCTCATAACTGTATAAAGCTGTTAGGTGTAACGTTTAGTACCTCAACTAATGTTATTGATAATGACTTGAATTTTGAGTCAAAATTTGTAAAATGTGAAAACATTATGAAATCGTGGTCTGGAAGGTACTTAACAATTATGGGAAAGGTTGTTATAGTGAAATCTTTACTTTTATCACAATTCTCCTATCTCATGCAAGCCTTCATTCTACCTGACAAACTTTTGAATAGAATTAACACAATGATGTTTAAATTTATTTGGGCAAAAGGCAGATTTAAAGAGGATGAATTGAAAAAGATTCCTGACAAAGTGAAAAGGGATGTAATGGTACAAGAATATAAATATGGAGGGTTAAAAATGATAAATGCTAAAGATTTACAAATAGCTTATACAACACAATGGGTTAAAAAAATGCAAGAAAGAGGCAATGGTCACTGGAGAGGCTTACCCATGTACATGTATGGAAAAATGGGTAATGGACTCAGTATTTTTAATTCAAACCTAGATTTTGATAGAATTAAAGGTTTGCATAACTTGAGTAATTTTTATAAAAATGTATTACATGTATGGTTAAAACACAATGATTTTAAAAATGAGTGCATTATTTGGAACAATGAAAATGTAACTCTCAATAATTCTCCATTATTTTTTGAAAACTGGATTGAAAAGGGCATTACATATATTTCAGATGTTGTCCAGGATAGGGAAATGTTAGCATATGATAACATTGTCCAGAAAATAGGGAGAAATGGCCAAACAATTCTTCAATATAATGCGCTTAAAGCATGTTTAACACAAGATCTCCTTATCAAATATGAAATGAAAACACCTTGTACAAAATTATTTTTTAAAGGCATTGAGAGCCATCTTTTAAACACAAGAATTGTGAGAACAAAAATTGTTTTAGAGAGAAAGTGTGACATAAAATTTAATGGTGAGATTCTAAACGATAAAGTCTGGTCTCAGTTTTTTGAATGTACAACCGATACTACCCTTTTGGTAATTCAATGGAAAATTTTACATGGTATTTACCCTCAAAATATTTATTTGAAGAAATGTAACATAGAAAACTCTGACATCTGTAACTTTTGTAACGCACATGTAAAAGATGACATTGACCACTTCTTTATCAATTGTGACTGTATTAAATCAATTTGGAATGATGTAAATGTTACAAATGATCAAAAAATTGGAAATGCAATTGTTAAAAAAGAAGATTTACTTAAAACATTGGTAATTAAAAAATCTATACATGATTTTAAAAAAAGGGTCAATACAGCTTGTAATGTAAAAGCAATTTATGATACTGAGATAATGATCAGAAAGATGTAATGTAACTTGAAATTTCTATAATTGTATTTTTTGTATTTTATCTAATTGTATGCATGTAATGTAAAATATGTTTATTAATAAAGTTTGATTTTATAAAAAAAAAAAAAAAAAACATATGCATACTTTTTGTGCAATGTTTCTTGAGAAATTGTATTGCTGTGTTGGACTAAAATAAAAAATATAAACTGTATAAGCAATAAAAACAGCTGATAAGTTGCATTGTACTTGTATATGATATATATTAATCAAACCTACATTAGCTCTGCCTCTAGTGGTCCAGGAATTGAAGTGATACTGTATTCCAGTAAATTTATATGCAGATTCATCTATGCCACCTCCCATGATTCAACTGAAACCAAAAGAGAGGATAAATATAAATTATAAATACATAACACCTTTGTGAAACTTTCGAAAGCTCTGAAACAATTGTGATTAAAAGGAGGGAAAGCCCTAAAGCTTAAGCGATGACTGACATATTACGTCTCTTGTGTACCACCTTTGTTTGCGCAAATTCTCACCAGTTAGTTTTTTAATATATTGCATCGTTGTGATTTTTTAATCGATTTAAGCAAATTCCTTACATCTTGCTTTATCTTGATGTGAAATAACAAGCTATGATATCGGTTAACACGCCAGAAATTAACATAATAATATTTGAAGCTTTATAAGAAAATTTTGAATCCGCCATTTTTGTTTGTCGATTTTGACCAATCAGAGACGTGGGTTATCTCAATACAGGTTTACATTAGAAGAGTGCATCATCTTTGAACTCTGGGGTTAACCCCCCTCTTATTGTGGTTATTGATAACATAGATCGATTCTTCTTACTTAAAAGTATAGGTAACAATAGTTGAGGTGAAGATGTGGGGACTGTCCAATAAGTGACTGAGTTGTTTGTAAACAAGGAACAATATATGAATAAAGAGATCCTATGGGAAAATATAATTGCCACATATGTTAAATGTGAGAAAACGTTTCATATAAATATACTGATGTAATAATGTACTGTATACTCCAAGAATGACCCGTGTGAACTGCGTTACCTGGAAAAAGCATGTTGCTGAGTTCGACTTGAGTTTGGGGTAGATCTAGCAAGTCTAAAGAGTCAAGCTCTTCTAGTTCAAATAGATCTTTCGGATAAATCCTTAAACTCCCATGGCAGTCTATTGGAATAGACAGTGCGTTGGGTAGAGAAAAAGTCATAACATAAAAAGAATCCTAAAATACTCAGGAATTTATTGAGACAGGTTATTTGTGTCAGACTTGCGTCAAAAATTGATAATAGTAAGTACCGTTCCACATCACCACACTTCAGGGTGGGCGTGGCACATCGCGAAGGCTGTGCAGATGTTCATGACAATTGATTTTTTTTCGTGATATTAGAATTTGAGCTACAGTTAAGTCTCACAAGTAATCTAAAATTGAGACATGAAACAATATTGGGGTGTTTTGGAGAGGGAGATTCCATGGGTGGTACCTGTTGGCCAGGGAAGGTAAGTTACAGGGACTTTGTGGAGGCCCCAGAGGAAGGTAAACAGGAATGACTTGCAATTCTGCATGAGTGCATAAAACAAATGTTTTTATCACAAGAGCCCGCTGCAGCGATTTTCAAAAAGTACCCCAAAAAATTATTTGTACCCCATTTTTTGAAGTGACCTGGGTATAAAGCACTCTAAAAATACTATAAAATTACTTAGGCCTAGCGCAATCACTGGTTATCAGTGTTTTCAGTAGGCTTGTCCAAAATTGCGACCCTTGGACG